TGGACACATGGTCGATCTTCTTCCTGCCCCTCAGCCCGTAGAGGTGGAAGCGGGTACCGGTGGGACGGGGACAGCCCTGGCACTGTCACCGAGCGGGAGCCGCCATCGATGGGCAGGGCCTGGGGCTGGCCCTGGGCATCCCGGTACTGCAGCGTGAAGGAGTCAAAGGAGCCCTCGGGGACGCTCCAGTGTAGCTGCACAGAGCTGGGGCTGACACTGGACACTCTCAGCTCCTCCAGCACTGCCCGTGCTGGGGGAGCCGCAGATGGAGGGGCCTCAGCTTGGGGATGGGCAGTTTCGTGATCCTCATCTGGGGGCCCCCCAGTTGTGGTGTCCTTTGAGGGTGGGGACAGATCCTCAGGGTCAGCTACAGCAACAGAAAGGGGGCAATGATGGACATTGTTGTGTCCATCCATCATCCACCCAAGTATCCATCACGCACCATTTCCTCCCAGTCCCTTCTCACCATTCCCTCCTCATCCATCACTGAACACCCATTGACCCCAGCCCCATTCAATCAACCACTGACTCTTCCATGGACTCACTGATGAGCATCTGCCATCATCCACCATCTTCATCATTGTCAAAATCAACATCATCCATCATCTTGATTCAGACAAAACCCACTGTCATCCCTCCATCCATCCATCCATCCATCCATCCATCCATCCATCCATCCATCATCCATCCATCCATCCATCCCTCCATCCATCCATCCATCCATCCATCCATCCATCCATCCATCATCCCTCCATCCATCCATCCATCATCCATCCATCCATCCATCCATCCATCCATCCATCCATCCATCCATCTATCCATCCATCATCCATCCATCCATCCATCCATCCATCCATCCATCCATCCATCATCCATCATCCATCCATCCATCCATCCATCCATCATCATCCATCCATCCCTCCATCCATCATCCATCCATCCATCCATCCATCCATCCATCCATCCATCCATCCCTCCATCCATCCATCCCTCCATCCCTCCATCCATCCCTCCATCCATCCATCCATCCATCCATCCATCCATCCATCCATCCATCCTCCATCCATCCATCCGTCCATCCATCCATCATCCATCCATCAATCATCCATCCATCCATCCTCCATCCATCCATCCATCCATCCATCCATCATCCATCCATCCATCCATCCATCCATCCATCCATCCATCCCTCCATCCATCCATCATCCATCCATCATCCATCCATCCATCCTCCATCATCCATCCATCCATCCATCCATCCATCCATCCATCCATCCATCCATCCATCATCCATCCATCATCCATCATCCATCATCCATCCATCCATCCATCCATCCATCCATCCATCCATCCATCCATCCATCCATCCATCCATCCATCATCCCTCCATCCATCCATCCATCCATCATCCATCCATCCATCCATCCATCCATCCATCCCTCCATCCATCCATCCATCCATCCATCCCTCCATCCATCAATCCAAACAACATCAATCCCTCCATCACACCACCCTCCCATGGTCCCAGCCATCTCTCCATCTCCAACCTGCCTCCCATTTCCCTGCCCAATTCCACCCATCGCTCCTTCCCTTCCACATTACCATCCACCACCAAGCCACCAAGTCACAAGTCCCAAAAAACATCTGCTGAATGATTGGTGCTAAATCCTGCCTGCCTGCAGACAAACAACCCCCATCATCCATCACCCATGCACCCAGCCCTCCATCCACCCTCCCACTACCCATTTCTGCAGCCATCCAATGATGTTCATGTCCATCCTTCTACTCACGGGTCCATCAAACCCTCCAGGTATCCATCCATAATCCACCTTTTTCTCCATCTTTCCATTAATCGCTCCATCTCCCCAGTCCTTCCACCCTCTGACCTTGGTCCTCACCTGTGACAACATCGGTGGACACGCGGTCAATCCTCCTCCTGTCCCGCAGCCCGTAGAGGTGGAAGCGGGTACCGGTGGGACGGGGACAGCCCTGGCACTGTCACCGACCGGGAGCTGCCATCAACAGCCAGGGCCTGGGGCTGGCCCTGGGCATCCCGGAACTGCAGCGTGAAGGAGTCAAAGGAGCCCTCGGGGACGCTCCAGTGCAGCTGCACAGAGCTGGGGCTGACACTGGACACTCTCAACTTCCCCAGCACAACTGTCCCTGGTTGGACTCAGTTTGGGGCTGCTCAGTTTGGGGCTGCTCAGTTGGGGGCTGCTCAGGGTGGTGGTCTTCAGCCTGGGGCTCCTGTGAGGGTAGGGGAAGCTGCTCTGCCCCTGCTGCATCTGTGATGGAGAAGGAATGATGATAGGAGTGAGAATTGACATGTTTATTGAACCAATCATCCATCCATCATCCATCCATCCATCCATCCATCATCCATCCATCCATCCATCCATCCATCCATCCATCCATCATCCATCCATCCATCCATCCATCCATCCATCCATCCATCCATCCATCATCCATCCATCATCCATCCATCCATCCATCCATCCATCCATCCATCCATCATCATCCATCCATCCTCATCCATCCATCATCCATCCATCCATCCATCCATCCATCCATCCATCCATCCATCCTCCATCCATCAATCATCACACCACCACTCCATCCATCCATCCATCCATCCATCATCCATCCATCCATCCATCCATCCATCCATCCATCGTCCATTATTCTTCCATCCTTCACCCATCTTTTGTTCTTCAGTCATTCCTAATGTCCGTCCCTCCATCCCCTGAACTGCCCTCCCCTCCCAACCCTCACCCCAACCCCCCTGCCCTTACCCAGGGCACAAACCAGCCGCAGGCTCAACCACACCTGCTCCCACCTGGCCACCTGTGCCTTCATCATCGATCCACCCAGAGCAGCCAAGAGCCCCCCATCCACCGACCCATCACCCTCCTCATCCTCTGCCAATGTGCCATCACCCCCACCCTGAGGTGGGGTGCAGGATGGGGGGGTTTGGGGGCAGGAAAGATGGATGATGGGCGTTAGACAGGTGATGGATGGTGATGAAGGAGGGTGACAGAGTCACTGTGTCATGAGATGGGTCAGTGGACGATTGGATGGTTCCAGGGTCAGTGTTTACTCCATGGCAGGTGGAAATGGGATGGTGGAATGGTGCAATTGGTGAAACCATGCAGGGAAATGTGGGGAAGCAGGGATGGAGCTGGAATGGAGGGAGGATCAAAGCGGGATGGAGACAGGGTGTGTGGATGGAGGGAATGAGGAGGGCAGGGAAGGAAGGATTCCCAGAAGGATTCCAGGAAGGATTCTAGGAAGGAAGGATTCCAGGAAGGAAGGAAGGATTCCAGGAAGGATTCCAGGAATGAAGGATTCCAGGAAGGATTCTAGGAAAGAAGGAACGATTCCAGGAAGGAAGGAAGGATTCCAGGAAGGAAGGAAGGAAGGATTCCAGGAAGGAAGGACTCCAGGAAGGAAGGAAGGAAGGAAGGATAGAAGGATCCAAATATGTACCAGAAGGAGATGGTTGCTGTGGGTGATGGTTGAACACTTGAAAGGGTGATGAGTGGATGGACAGAGGAATGAAATTGGATGGACAGATGGATGGATGGAGGGTGGATGGATGGATGGATGGATGGATGGATGGATGGATGGATGGTGGATGGATGGATGGATGGATGGATGATGGATGGATGGAGGGATGGAGGGATGATGGATGGATGATGGATGGATGGATGGATGGATGGATGGATGGATGGATGGATGGATGGATGGATGGAGGATGGATGATGGATGGATGGATGGATGGTTGTATCCCAGTGGTCCCAGAAGCATCTCTTCAGTCATTGGTCCTTCCACCTACCTATTGACCAACAACCCACCATCATCTATAACCCATCATCCATCATCAGCCATCATCCCTCATCCATCCATGGGTCCACACATCCCTTACTCTCCATCCCTTTGGCCTCCACATTCCCATCCCCATCTCAAGCCCCAGAAGCACCTCCCAGACTCCCCAAGCTTGAAGGACCATGTGCGACCTTTGATGCACCATGGGTGCAGATGGGGCCTGAGCCCCCCTCACCTGTCACAGCCTCGGTGGACACATGGTCGATCTTCTTCCTGCCCCTCAGCCCGTAGAGGTGGAAGCGGGTACCGGTGGGACGGGGACAGCCCTGGCACTGTCACCGAGCGGGAGCCGCCATCGATGGGCAGGGCCTGGGGCTGGCCCTGGGCATCCCGGAACTGCAGCGTGAAGGAGTCAAAGGAGCCCTCGGGGACGCTCCAGTGCAGCTGCACAGAGCTGGGGCTGACACTGGAGACCCTCAGCTCTTCCAGCACTGCCCGTGCTGGAGTGGCCTCAGATGCCGGGGACTCAGGTTGGGGCTCCTCAGAGGTCAGGGGCAGCTCCTCTGCCTTGGCTGCAGCTGTGATGGAGAGACGATAATGATGGGCTTGGGCATTTCCTTGTCCATCAACTAGTCCATCTATCCATCCATCCATCCATCACATCCATCACATCCATCCATCCATCCACCCATCCATTCATCCATCCATCCATCCATCCATCCATCCATCCATCCATCCATCCATCCATCCATCATCCATCCATCCATCCATCCATCCATCCATCCATCCATCCATCCATCCATCCATCCATCCATCCACCCATCCATTCATCCATCCATCCATCCATCCATCCATCCATCCATCCATCCATCCATCCATCCATCATCCATCCATCATCCATGCATCCACCCATCCATCCATCCATCCATCCATTAGTCCATCCATCCACTGTCCATCCACTGCTATTCCATTGTCCGTGCACCATCCATTGTTCATCAATCTTCCATCACCCATAATCATCATCCAGTCATCACCACAATCATCATCATTATCAACACAATCATTCATCTATCCATCGATCCATCATCCATCCATCCATCCATCCATCCATCCATCCATCCATCCGTCCGTCCGTCCGTCTGTCCATCCATTCATCTCTCTACCTTGCTAACACT